TCACGGCCCCGTCCCCCCCTGCCCCCCCCCTGCCAGGGCCCAGCTGACGGGCAGAGCGCTCAGCACCACGGCAGGAAGGGAAGGGAGGCCCTGACGTGCACAGCCACGCCCTTGGCCGTCTGCGTCAGCGCCCTGCCCCCCTTCTCTTCCCACCAGGGCCCAGCTGAGCAGCACAGCGTGAGCGCCGCTCAGCTGGGCCCCGGCAGGGGAGCAAGCGTCCGTTTGGGGTCCCACGCTCCCCGCAAAACTAGACTGGCCCACAAGAAGGGGATGCCTGTGGCTGTAGGGCAGATATTCTTTGTGTTTACTTAAGGGCTTCCGCCCCCCACCACCAATAGCTCATTATCAGGAACTAATCCTTGCAGATGTTTTCTCTCCCTGACTTGGTTACGTACTAAGTTCCCCCTAGGCTGGAGCAGGAGCCGGGGCTACTGTGCCAGAGCTGAAGCCAGGGGTGCAGTGTGGCTGCTCCTGGGGTTGGGGTCCCCTGCATCCCTGCCCTCCCCACTGCTCTTTCCCCCGCTCATTGCTCCCCTCTGGCTCTCAGTTCCCCCTTCAGCCCCCCCCCCCGGCTTCCTACATTGCTGCCCAAGCCCCCCCCTCCCCGCAAACGCGGGGTGCTGGGGGCGTCCCGCACCCATCCGAACAAGCACCCAAGACCTCAGTATTGGCGCACAAGACACAACTCACTCGCACACGGATGGAAAATCTCAGGGAGAGGCGACACTGCTCATTGCCCTGGTTTGTTCTGTCCTCCTCCACCCCAGGGTTAAGTGCTCCTCCCCTTCCTGGATAAGGGGGGAGTCCAGACCCCACAAGTGCTGCTTCAAGTCTTGGGGCCCAGCACCTGGGAGTGACTCCTGAGATCCAAGTGAGTGAGCAACCGGAACAGGAACTGAGCTCAGGTCTCCGGCTCCAGGGAGCACAGTGTTGCCCCCAAATGCTTGTTTTGTAAAAGGTGCTTCTCTTGCCAAGTGCAAGGTCTAACTAGAAGCCTAGCCCTGACATACGGCCACTGGCTAAAACCCGCCAAAGACTCTGCCTCACACTATCCAAGAAATTAAGAAACCACCTGATAAGTATTTTATACAAGAAACAGAAAACCATCAAGAATGACATTTCTAACTTAGATCGTCTCATCTCAAGACAAACATCCACACCGACTGACACCTTGCAAGACTTTTGTTCCACCAGACAAGAAATCTACTATACACACTTCTGTTCCCTGCAACAGAGAAAAGACAATAAATTTTCTAACCTGCTCCATACCACTGGCTACAACAGCAACTGCCTCAACCCACCGGATAATATTGTTAACCTCTCCAGCTACAAACTCAATCCAGCAGAAGAGTCTGTCTTGTCCCGGGGTCTCTCTTTCTGCCCCACGTCCCCCACAAACTGGATACAATTTTGTGGTGACCTTGAGGCTTTTTTTCGCCGCCTCCGTCTCCGAGAATATTTCCAAACCACCACTGAACATCAATCTGACCTACCAGATCCCCCCTACCAACACCAAAGGAAAAATAATTCTATATGGACTCCCCCTGACGGTCGGAATTACAATCTGGATTTCTATATACACAGCTTCCGCAACAACGCACAGACTGACATTATTCGCAAACGACAACAAGCGACACACAATCTTAGCCGCGCTGAACACCATGCCATCCAGAGTCTCAAAAACAACCTGGACATTGTAATCAAACCAGCTGACAAAGGGGGTGCTGTGGTCATTATGAATAAGGCCGACTATAACCAGGAGGCAACCAGACAACTCTCGAACACCACATTTTACAAACCTCTCCCCTCTGATCCCACCTTGGACTACCAAAAGAAACTACACTGTCTCCTTAAAAGCCTCCCCACAGCTACTCGGGAACAAATCCTCACAGAATCACCTTCTGACCCCCGACCAGGATTGTTCTATCTACTTCCCAAGATCCATAAACCTGGGCACCCCGGACGTCCCATCATCTCTGGTATTGGCACGCTCACTACTGGTCTATCCAGCTATGTAGACACTCTTCTCAAACCCTTCGTAACCAATACCCCCAGCTATCTCCGAGACACTACTGACTTCCTAAGGAAACTACAAAACATCGATAACCTCCCCAATAATACCATCCTTGCCACCATGGATGTAGAAGCTCTATATACCAACATCCCACATGAAGACGGATTACAAGCAATTAGAAACACTATCCCAGAGGACACTACTGCCAACCTGATAGCAGACCTATGTAACTTTGTTCTCACCCACAATTATTTCCGGTTTGAGAACAACTTATACCTCCAGATCAGCGGCACAGCCATGGGTACACGCATGGCCCCACAGTATGCTAACATCTTTATGGCTGACCTAGAACAACGTTTCCTCAACTCCCGTCCCCTTTCACCCCTCCTCTACCTACGGTACATCGATGACATCTTTATGATCTGGACACATGGCCAAGAAACACTGGAGATATTCCACAGAGATTTCAACAACCTACACCCCACCATCAACCTCAGCCTGGACCATTCTACACGAGAGATCCACTTCCTGGACACCACCGTACAAATCAACAATGGAAAATTAGACACCACTCTCTACAGAAAACCCACTGACTCATACAGTTACCTACATGCATCCAGCTCCCATCCAGAACACACCACACGATCCATCGTCTATAGCCAAGCCCTTCGATACAACCGCATCTGCTCTAACCCCACTGACAGAGACCAGAAGCTTCAGGATCTCTACCAAGCATTTATAAATCTCAACTACCCACCCGGAGAAATAAAAAAGCAAATTGAAAGAGCCAGACGAATACCTAGAAACCATCTACTTCAAGACAGACCCAAGAAAACCAACAATAGAACACCACTTGTCATCACCTACAACCCCCAACTTAAACCTGTCCAACACATTATCAATAAACTACAGCCTATATTGG